CTTCCAATGTCCAAGAACGAGCCCAAGTCCTTAATTCGAACCGGACAATCCCAAACTAATCAAACAAAGTAGGAACTAGTAAATAAAGGCTTACAAGGTTGAATTCTAGCTATTTAAGCAATTTCCTAACCATTTACACAAGTTTCCTAAATTCCGACCCCGGGCCCACGTGCCCGGACTCCGAGATTTTTCGAAGGAAGTTGTTCTGTATCACCTAAGGATCACAAATATATGATTTCTAGTTCACTACATGGCAAATTATGTGATAAAACCTTAGTTTTCATTAAACCCTAGGTCTAGCTCAAATCCCTTAATTTTACCTAATTTTTAGTGTTAAATCTACCTAATGTTTATGTATTTGCACTAAAAATGAGTGGGGATTACTTACCTTGCAATGTTATGTTGAAACCTCCTCTTTGAAATCACCAAAATCGCCTAAGTGTTGAGAGTATGTGGAGGAAATGAGTTTGGGTTCGTATTAATGAACCCTTCTGCCCCCAGTTATTTTCGCATCTGCGGAAGTATTTCCGCTTCTGCGAAATCCGCTTTTGCGAAATTTGGCCGCTTCTGCGGCTTTTGGGATTTGGGGCTCGACCGCTTCTGCGGTCCGGGGGCCGCATAGGCGGAATCGCTTCTGCGGTCCCTTGGCCGCTTTTGCGGTTTCCCCTGGCCTGCCCCTTCTCCGCTTCTGCGAACTATTGACCGCATCTGCGGTCCAAGAACCGCAGATGCGGTTATGACAGAAGCAGCAAGCTTCAGTCATTTTCCAAATTCTAACTTCACTCGAGCCTCGCTCGTTTGACGCTCGAGGCTCCCGTGCCCCGCCCGAACATACCGACAAGTCTGAAATCACAAGGCGGACCTACTCGAACCCTCGAAACACTCAAAACAACGCTAAATCGGGGAATCAACCCCAAAACCAAATGAATCAAATCATTGAACTTCAAGTTCTTAATTCTCCTCCAACGGGTCAAAACGCCCTTAAACTACTCGGATTGACACCAAATTTTACGGGTAAGTCTTAGCTGATATTTCGGACTTGTACCAAGTTTCGGAATCGAGATCCGAACACGATACCTAGGTAAACAATAATTTCTTAGTTTATTTAAACCTTTGAAACTTTAACTTAACAATTTCACATAAAAATTCATTACTCGGGCTAGGGACCTCGGAATTCGATTCTGGGCATACGCCCAGGTCCCATATTTTCCCATGGACCCTCAGAAATTGTCAAATCACGATTCTGGGTCCGTTTTCCCAAAATGTTGACCGAAGTCAAACTTGGTCTTTTTAAAGAAACTTAAAGAAGCAACTAGACTTATTCTTGCTCAAAGCTCTTCTAACTTCCGAACCACCCATCCCCGCAAGTCACAAATTAGCATAAGCAAGTGCGGGAAGTCTTATTTAAGGGAACGGGGTTCAAAAATGCAAAACAATCGGTCGGGTCGTTACACGTAACTTTTATAAATAGACTAGGGGTATTTTTATCAACAAATTATTTCCGTGCTAATGTACTGGCTAAATATAAATGACTTTTGATTGTGTGGCTAATTTGATTGACCAGCCGTAAAAATAACTAGTTATAAATTTCACACCTAATTAAAATATAGTAGTTGGATAGACTATGCTACTATTAATACAATTTATATGGAAAGTTTAATATATCAAATTCTTAATATCTAAGTTAGAATCTCGTCAACTTTTACGACTTTGCGACTTTCTCTCTCTAGAATGAGAGCTTCTCTCAGCTAAGGCTGGATGGCAAAGAAGCAACGGACCGGAGGGAGAGGGCAAGCAGGAACTGTGAACCAACAGAGGAATTTTGGCACGAGAGCAATTCCACAAACTGAAGACGCAAAGAAAACTAGGAGCGTGAATGTTCTACAAGGAATAATTCCGCTGGAATTGAAGCAATCACCAATAGCAGGAACATAACGGTAACGCCAATGGCGACACCGACGGTAATTCTGCAAGTAATCATGCAATTGGGCACTAGAAATCAAACACATTTTACTGGAAAGCAGTCATGGGCGGAATAAGTGGAAACAAAGGAGAAAACCATAGGTAAATCTCAAACCCTAGCTACAAATTTGAAGACATGGAGTGAGATAGTAGGAAGTGCACCTATAGCTGAGGGATTTGATCTAGAAGGTGTAACTAGTTCAACTGCAAATGTCAAAATCAAATTGGAAGATGTAAAAGAGGAGATAGAATACTGGCAAACTGCGGTTGTATGCTTTGTACTGGGATCAAACCCTCCTCTAACAGTTGTGAAGGGGTATTTCAAGCGCATATGGTACACATTGGGGGTGGATAAGGTAGCAAAAGTAAAAAAAGGAGTGTTTATGGTCAAATTTCACAACATAGAAGGGCGTATAAAGGCAATTGAAGGGGGAGTGCAGATATTTGATAGGAAACTAGTTGTAGTTAAGCCATGGAAACCTGGAATAGAGATAACTAATGTAATGGTGGAGTAGGTGCCTATATGGATCAAATTAGTGGGTCTAGATCTGAAATACAGGGGGCAAGTAGCCTTAACAAAAATAGCTGGGCTGGTGGGGAAACCTGTGAAGGCAGATATTGCAACAACAATGAAAGAGAAGCTCATGTATGCAAGGGTAGTGGTGGAAATACCTTTGAACAAAACGTATCTAGAATCAGTCCTGTTTGAAAATGAATTGGGGCAAATAATTGAACAAGAAGTGGAATATGACTGGAAGCCTACAATGTGTGATCATTGTAAGATATTTGGCCACACGGAACAACAATGTAGGAGATTACAACAAAAACCACAAGTGTAACAAGCAAAGAAAGAATGAAAACCAGTGAAGGGGAAAGAGCAGATAACAAAGCCAGGGCAAGAAGGGGAGGAAATAGAACAAAATGATAAGTTAAAGCAGGGACAAGTTCTACAGAAACAAGTTATCACTCCACTGAGTAACTAGTTTGCCACCTTGGAGGATCAAGAAGAAGAGCAGAATGCAGGGGAGATAGCAAGAGATAAAATGTTGGTAGAAAAGAGTAATAAGTCTAAAGGTTTGACATATGGAGAAGGGGTACAACAAAGATAGGGAAGCTCAATGACAGTAACTAGTAGTCAAAGGGAAATATAAAGGAAAATAGGGATGGGTCCAGGAACTAGGAGGGGAGTTACAATCCCCCCCCCCCCCCCCATGGATAAAGTGGAATTTTGGAATGTGAGGGGTCTAAACAGGCAGGATAAGCAGAGAGAGGTGAATCTATTCCTGCACAATGATAAAGTAGGCCTGTTTGGACTCCTGGAGACAAAGATTAAGAGGCAAAAAACATCTTTAGCTGCTCTCAATCTTTGTAATGGGTGGGCATTTAGTCACAATTTAGCACATCATCCGAATGGGAGAATTTGGGTGTTATGGAAACCAAACATTTTCCATGTGAATATCACTGATGTATCAGCTCAAATGATGTATTGTGAGGTGGAACATAGAGGGATTCAACACAAGTTTCAGTTAACATTTGTGTATGGGTTCAATGACCAAGCTCTAAGAGGAACACTATGGCAAGAACTGGAACAAATTCATGGTGTCACTAATGAACCATGGGCAGTTATGGGTGATTTCAATTGTGTTCTGAATAGAGATGAAAGGGTGGGTAGTCCAATCACAGTTTCAGAAATAAAGGAATGTGTAGGAAGATGCTCACTACAGGAACTTAGCTCATCTGGTTCCTTCTTTACTTGGAATAATAAGCATGGAGATACTAGTCGTGTCTATAGCAGAATTGATAGGGTACTATTGGGTGATGAAATTACCAGGATCAGAAGTTCATTTTGGTAATGAAGGCCTTATGGATCACTGCCCAGCTGTGATTAACTGGGATAAGGGGCCACAAAAAAGCAATCACAGATTTAGATACTTCAATATGTGGAGCCAAGCTACTGATTTTTATCAGCAAGTAGAAAGCAACTGGAAGAGGGAAATTGTAGGCACAATGCAGTACATATTGGTAGGGAAGCTGAATAGACTCAAAGTTACATTACAAGGAATCAATAGAGCCCAATTTGGAGATATAGAAGGGAAAGCTGAACAAGCAAAATAAGACCTGGAGGAGTGTCAAAGTGAGTTGCAGAAGGATCCTTTAAAAATAAGGCTGGTTAATAAAGAGGCACAACTAGCTAAGCAATTTCTACACTGGAACTTGACAAGGAACCAATACCTTAAGTAGAAGTGCAAAGTCCATTGGCTGAATTCAGGGGATATGAATACTAAATTCCTTCATAGTATGCTGAAAGCTAGGAGAAATGCTAACAGAATATTCACTATAAAATATAATGCAGGGAACACCAGAAATGATATGGAAGATATTGCTGAAGCCTTTGTGAAACAGTATACTTCTTTGCTTGGTACTAAGACTGGGAACGGAAGAAGGGTATGTAGTGCTATTGTTAAACAAGGCCCTGTAGTTTCAGAGTTACAAAGAGGAATGCTGGTTGAAGAATTTACAAGGGCAGAAATGAAACAAACTCTTTGGAAAATAGCAGGGGATAAAGCACCTGGGACAGATGGATATGGTAGCCAGTTCTTCAAGGATTGTTGGGAGATAATTAAGGAAGATCTAGAAGCAGGAGTGATGGAATTCTTTAAATCAGGGAAGATATTGAAAGCATGGAATAACACAGTGTTGACACTAGTCCCAAAATATGATCATGCAGACATAGTGACAGACTACAGTCCCATAGCTTGCTGCAACACCATCTATAAGGTGGTGTCAAAGATGTTAACAAATAGATTGAAGCAAATCCTGACAGATATCATATCCCCAAACCAAAGTGCTTTTGTGGCTAGCAGAACAATTATCCAGAATATCCTAATTTGTCAAGATTTGGTAAGACTCTACAACAGAAAACAAACCACTAGTAGCTGCCTGATCAAAATAGACTTAAGGAAAGCTTATGACACAGTAGAATGTGAATTTGTAGCAGAGATGATGCATGCATTGGAGTTTTCTCAATAATTTATCAAATGGACTGCATAACTACAGTGCAGTATACAATAGCAGTCAATGGGGGATTGTATGGGAATATAAAAGGAGAAAGAGGACTTAGGCAAGGGGACCCAATATCCCCATTGCTTTTTGTTATATGCATGGAATATTTCACGAGGATAATGAATGTAGTAGCACAGCAGGAGGGATTTGGGTATCACACCAAGTGTAAGAGCCTGAAATTGAACCCTCTCTGTTTTGCAGATGATGTACTGCTATTCAGTAAGGGGGATTTTCAATCAGTGCATCTGTTATTGAGAGGATTGAAAACATTCTCAGAACGCTCAGGCCTAACTACAAATGCAAGTAAGTCAAATATCTTCGGTGTCAATATGCCAGTCCAAAGCCAGAAGGATTTGATGGAAATGACAGGATACCAGAAAGGAAACCTACCATTCGGATATCTTGGAGTGCCTATATCAGCTAAGAGATTATCTAAAATGGACTATGAAATATTTATGGACAAGATAGCAGCAAGAATTAAAGGGTGGGGTACAAGGCATCTATCCTATGCAGGGAGGGTGCAGTTAGTCAATTCAGTACTACTACACCTACATAGCTACTGGTCAACCATTTTCCTGCTACCAAAGCAAGTGATTAAGGGAATAACAGCTATGTATATGAACTTCATATGGGATGGCGAAGTAGTCACACACAAGCCATCATTAGTGGCATGGGACTTAGTGTGTAGGACTAAACAAGAAGGAGGGCTGGGGATAACTGACATCATAAAGTGGAATGAAGCTGCAATAGCTAAATATATATGGAATATTGCTCAAAAAGCTGACAATCTATGGGTGAAACGGATCAATAGTGTCTACTTAAAGGAGAAGAACTGGTGGCAGTACAAATGCCCCAATGATGCATGTTGGTATTGGAAGAAAATCTGCATAATCAGAGAGGTGTTTGCTCCTGGATTTAATCAGAACTTATGGAGAAACGCCAATGGACAGTACACAATTAAGGAAGGGTACATATGGAGAATGGGAGAAAGGAAAAACTGGCCATGGAGAAGGTAGGTGTGGAACAGATTGAACCTACCTAAACACAGCTTTATTTGCTGGCTCACGATGCACCAAAGAATGCTGACAAAAGCCAGATTGTATCGTATGGGCATAAGTCAAGATGATAGGTGCCCAATATGTGGAAAACAAGAGGAGACCATCCAACATATGTTCTTCGAATGTACATTCTCTAAGCAGTGCTTAAGGGAGGTGTTGAACTGGATGAACATGGGAATACAATTGACAGATATAACAGGGATTTGGAAGAGAATGACCAGATCAATCAAAGGGAAGAGTTGCAAGGAAGTTGTCATTGCTATACTGGCTGCCCTAGTATACTGGATATGGAAGGCTAGGAACAATGCAATATGGGACCTAGACTACCCACCACTGCATATATGCTGAGCCGGATTAAACAAGAGTGTAGATTGAGGAAGATTACCTACTTGAGGAGCAGAACCAGTGTTAAAGAAAGAGACTGGATTGGGAAATTGCTGCAGAGATAGAAGATCAGATGGATAGAGTTATTCATGTTTGATGAAGTAGAAAATGTATAGATAAAGTATATATAGAAAGAGATAGGAAAATGAAAGAAGTACTGAGATAAAGCATGTAATGGATCCACGGTGATGAATTAATAAAATTATTTTCTTCACCAAAAAAAGTTAGAATCTCATGTTATATCGAATTTATAAATTTATTTATACAACATTTTGATATAAAATATTTTATGGATGATAAATATTTGATATTATGTTAAATATTTCACAGTATATCGATTTGTAAAATTTTCTGTAATTATGTTTTGGTATGAAATATTTTATGAATTATATTAAGGAATTTTTTCATTCGTATACACTATTTGAAACCTTATTACTAAAAATGTCCATGTTTTGGTATTTACCCGACCTAAACGTATTTTAGTTACAAAACATATCCAATCCACCTTAAAAGGCTCCCAAATCCATTATTTGTGCCTTCAATCAAGGATTTAGTTATACACTTTCCCTTTTTTCTCCACCGCTGATTCGCTCGCCTTCACATCCTTAGAGGCCATAAAATAACGAGATCCGCCTAGTTTTTTTTAGCTTTCAACCTTAACCTGAATCAATGATATACTCAAACTTCAAAGTGATTGAAAACCACAAATTTAATGGTGACAGTGTATGAGTTGAGATTTTTTTTTGGAGGCGGCTACTACAATAAGCAGAGATGGATGGAAATGAGGCATGAAAAGTGAACATGCAAAATCTGACTTTTATTCGACCACTTTAATTAGTTAATTCGTTCATGTAAATAGCTGATTTCACCAAATTCAACACATTGACACAAAATATAAATATACATATTGTTTACATTATTATTTCTACTCAATTAAATACATCTACAATATCATACAACTTAAATATAATTTTTATACAAATTTTATACAATAGGTCTTTTGTATATTTTGTATCTGCTTTATACATAGTAAAAACAAATTTTATACAACTAATTATATAGTATACAACTTATCTACCACTTTCATACATTATTTCTGCCCAGTTAAATACAACTACAATATCACACCACTTAAATACAATTTTTATACAATATGTCTTTTGTATATTTTGTATCTGATTTTTACATAGTAAAAACAAATTTCATACAACTAATTATATATTTTACAACTTATCTACAACTTAGCTACAATTTTCATACATTATTTCTACCCAGTTATATATAGCTACAATATCATACAAGTTAAATACAATTTTTATACAATATTGTCCAACTTTCATATAATATTTAAATAAAATATATATATATACATATATATATATATATATATATATATATATGAACAACATAATACAATTTTTCTACAATTTGACTACAACTTTACTACAATTTCGTAAGTATAATGTATGTCATGTCTTCTTCGAGTTTTAATCTGAAATTCAGCCAAAATCAAGTCTAATCTTCACCAAAACACCCTCAAAATTGAGATATAAACTCCAAACAATATTCCCAATTATTGCAACAACACCCAATCCAAACAAATAATGGTTTTTGAAAACCCAAATTCGAATTCAAAGCTTCAAAGTTTTTTAACGGTTATCAATGGTGGAATTGCTGCTATCTTTTCCTTTGCTCTACATTACTAGAATTAGGGATTGAGTGATATAGAGAGGCGTACGAAGAGAGAGAGTGGAGGAGAGAGAGAGTGCACAAGGGAGAGGAATAAGGATGGGAAATAATTAATTCATAATATAAAGGGATACTCATTTTTTCTAAAGTGTATATAATTGGTAAATTTGTATATAGGATGTAATTAAATTGAAACTTGAGTAGGGAGAGTAATAAAGTTTCAAATAGTGTATAGGAATGTAAAAAAATATGGGCGGTTGATCAAATGCATAAACACAGTCCAGAAATACAGAAAAAAGACTCTTGAGACCTGATAGTATTTGCACCCCACATCCTAAATCAACTAAAGAAAAATTAAGCAAAGAGTTGCATGTACGACTGAGGTTCGGAGAAACAATTCTGTACCTCTGTGAGCTCTCCAAATCTTTACTTCTTGCGTATTACGTATCAGATAGTACCATAGATGTGTTTTTACCATAAATATATGGTGGATTGGTGAGTTTTCATCAAGTTGCACCAAAAAGTGCCCCATACTCTAGTACCTTTCGTAGAATTACAATCATACGGTCACTTATCTTCCCAACTATTAAATCGATCAGACAGTAACAAAGAAATTCAATGAACTCTTTTGTGCTTTCTACGGCAAAAAAACAAAATGGAACTTCCCATTTTTCCATTTTTCATTTTTTGCTTTGGAGTGAAAACGAAAAAGAATCTCCTTTTTTCAAATTCGATGACTAACATTAACAAGCAAATCACATTCTATTTTATACAGTAAGGAAAACAGAACTTCAGTTGATGACAAACCTGAAGAAACAAGTATACTTGCAAGAAAAATAGAACTTCAGAATATTTTTTGGTCTTCTGATTTAAAACAGAAAAAGTACCTTTTCCAATTCTAAGCTCTAAAATAGATCACCAATGCCTAGAGAAAAACTACTACTCATGTATATAACATCAAATTTTATCTCAAAATTTTCCTCTAGCTTAATACATGCTGGTTGTATCTCTCTTTGCATAACAAAACCTCTCAAAAGATGTAAGCACCCATCCTCTAACTCAGGCTGTATTCTGCTCTACTGACTTGTACTGTATATATTATCGTCAGTCCCTTATGATCTATTAGTTCAAAAACTGGGTGAGACATCAAAAGCTTGTCATTCACGGGGAAAAGGCTGTCGCTTGTTCACGATGCATTCAGGGATGGAGCTGCCCACAACTTTACTTTCTTATCGACACTGGCTGTGGCCAACACCAGAACTTGCTTGTCACCTGACACATAGTTACAACAACAAAAACAGAAACAAATTAATATTGTTTGACCATTTGTGGAAAGCAATTGCTGCCATCAGAGACCCTAGCTAAATGCACCCTATGAATTTGAAGCCCTGATGGTTATTAAGCTACAATTTTTTCAACATAAGTTTAATGGTAGCTTCCTCCTAAACCACTAGGAGTTGGGTCCTACTTTTCAATTTTTCATTTTCACTCCAGTTTTTCATACTTTTCTCCTCCATCATAACTATAAGACAGAAACTGAGTCTCATATCTGTACTTGCTAGAATATATAGGAAGAAAATGGAAGATTCAGAGAAGCCACTAAAACTAAGAGGACGACACATTGAAAGCAAGATTCTAGCCAAAAGAGACAAGCTATTGTTTTACTTAGTGACAAAAGACTAAGAAAGATAAAAGGAAAAAAAGGAAAAAAGCTGATCCACTTTATGACCTAATGTAGACAAGAAATGGAAAAGAGAGAATCACATAATATAAAACTTCTATTTGATAAGATAAGATCACATAATATAGAACTTCACTTGGGATTGGGGAGAGATTTACCCATTGGAATGGGAGAAGGCGACCATGCCATGTCAGTGATATCACCTGCACAATAAGTGGAAGAATATTCATATCAAGTTAACACAAGTTGATAGCATGGCCGGCTACTAGCCACCTTAAATCACCACGATAGTTCAACTTTCCCCTCATCACCTATTAACCTAAGACATCCCCTCTCATCTCCTATTGACCTAAGACATCATATTGCTTCATATAGAAATCCTACAACAAGAAACTACGTAAATGAAGCAGATGTTCTAAGACAAAACTCATGAAATAATCAAGAATAGTAAAACCAATGGTTCCAACGGAGTGCCTCACAGCACCCTAGGAAAAATGATATCTAACTTAAAGTATTCATGACTCCTGCAAATGCGCAAACCGAAAAAAGAAACACTCATGAGGAAAAGACGAGCTATCATAACAATATAGAGCTCAACAGAATGAAAGCTAAGAACTCGCATTATGTGTCACTTAGATTCGCTAACACCAAATAAAACTTCGTTCTTCTTTTGATGAGGCGGGCCTGAGAGGATCGAACTTGGAAAATGTTTTTGAAGGATGTATTCCATTCAGGTTCTTGTTGTCTATTAGGGAAAAATCAAGATATTGAACTTTTGCCAAGAAGCACACAGTCATAGCTACATCAGAACACAGAAAAAAAAAGTTCTAGACAGGTTCAACACATACATAGGGATGACTATGGTGGACAGCTTTTGATAAAGGGGCTAAGTAATTTGGAAAGCATACCATCATGTGCCTTTTCAGCTGTGTCCAAAACCTTCCCAGTCTCCGGACATAGCCATTGCATCACTGAACCATGAGTGGTGGCCAATATCTTTCCATCAGGTGATAGACATAAACGATCGTAGTGTAAAGTTGTGCCATTTGCATCCTTAAGGGGAATAGGGAGCACCCTTAATGTCTTGGGGTCCTCGGAAAGATGATAGCGCACTGCAAAACAAGAATGTTGCACGCAAGTGCCAAAGGAAAATAATTGGACGAGGTAACAATGGTATAGTAACTAATAAGGGCTAGGGAGGGAAAGACATACCATTAATATTCCACACTCTGATGCTACCATCCTTCGATGCAGTAATTATTTGTTCAGAATTCGGGGTAAAGCATAGGCACGTCACTGCACTCTGCACAGAACCCATTAAAATTTTAGACATCAAGCAACAAATAAGCAGCAAATCAAAAAAGAAAGAGATCAACAGCAAAAGTTCATTTAACTAAATGACAGAGTCAGTCGAGAGAACACTGTACACCTTCTATAATAAGAGCAAGATTTCATCCATTAGCTGAATCATGAACACAATGAAAAAGAGATAATCAACAACAAAGTATTTGAAGCTTCGGAAGTCTTTGCTGAACCAGCATATTT